GAAAAGCAACATAATCAGTTTTTGTTTATAAATGTGATCAAAGAACTGTAAACATTAATTTTTAAGTGAGATAGAATAAATATATGAAAATCATATATTTTGAACTGCGGTATTTGATACGTATGATGGACGATCCTCGCAGTAGATAGCGCTATTTGAGCAATAGCGAAATTCAGACCTGAAAAAAATCAGGCCTGTACGGGACTCGAACCACTGACCTCTGCGATACTAGTGCAGCGCTCTAACCAATTGAGCTAACAAGCTCAAATAGCGCTATCTACTGCGAGGATCGTCCATCATACGTATTAATTTTTAAATGAACCACAAGAAATGTTGACACATCTAAACATTTAATCCTTATATATTTTCAATGATGACAAAGCAACTGCAAAAATGTCATGACAGAAAACAATGTAAATACTGTTAACCTACATCTATCTTTGGGGCTGCCTACAATGCAAATTGTATCACATTTTAAGATTCATCTATAACACCATTATGAAATCTCATTGGAAAGTTTCCAGAATTTGCTGGACAGACAAAAAGTGATTTATCCCAGAGTTTCCATCATCAGATAATGGATCAACATTTTCCTTCAGCTGTTGATTTTCACTCTCAGTTAGCTAGCTCTGGAACAACAACATTGTTGTCAGTGATTATATCTGGAATTGGACCATGTTGGTCTATGCCATAGGATTCTATGTCAAGAACTTCCGCAGCATCAGATGTTTGTAACAGTGACATATTCCATAAGGCTAGTGGTGAGTGATAACCAGTTGTTCTCATCACATGATAATTCCACTGGTTGTGAAATTCATTTAGTGATGCATTAATTCTTGGAAGATGTACATAATGTAATGCATATAAATGCACTTCATTTAGAGAATCAAGTATTTCATTACTTTCCATAAACTCAAAAAGATCTTTGTAAAATGCAGAACAAACTCGGTTGACCTCTGCCCACAAACATTCTATTCTCTGATTGTGAACACTGCGTCCAGCAATGAAACTCCCCTTGTCTGATCCTCGATTATTTGTCATATACCTGGCCACGTCAATGTTTTCCATTCCATGATCTCCACGGACACGCAGGGGAAGCCCATCTAATTCTTTTCTGCACCTATCCAGTAAGAATAAGTCTCCATTATCGTACGAAGAGGAAATTTTCCCAATTAAGAGATTAAGTTGAGTCAATAATTCTTTAAAATTATCGCTGGAAAACATTTCCCCACTCACTGTCACGTTGAAATCCGCCATCTTGTGTTTTAAAATTAATACCGCTGACTTGTGTTTTAAAAATAATACCGCTGACCATGTTTCGAAACTAATCGATAATCAATCGATATTCTCGTCCAGTAAAGTTTTTCTCGTCTATCAGAATTTTTCTCGCATTATAATTTTTTTCTCGTGCATAAAAAAGTTTTTCTGGTACAGCAATCTTTTTTCTGGAAGTACAAAAACTGTATCTCATCCAGTAAAACTGTAGCTCTTCCGGTGAAATTTTAAACTCGTACTATGATACGTATATGTGCACGATCCTTCGCAGTAAAGCACTATTTGAGCAATAGTGAAAATCAGACCTGAAAAAAATTTTTTTCAGGTCTGATTTTCACTATTGCTCAAATAGTGCTTTACTGCGAAGGATCGCGCACATATACGTTTCATAACCGCAGTTCTTACATATGTTTCATATGTTTGTTGTTGTTCGTATTATGATATTTGTAACTCGTCATGTGAACTTCTTTTCACTATACTTTTGTCCTGTCCTGCTTGCCATATGCGCACGTGAAAGATGACAGAACCAGTCCACGAATCAGCTACTCTCGCAAAGATCCGCGGGTAAGACACTTTGGCCAACCGACCACCCCATATAGAGGTTTGCACAGCAGCCATGTCGGATGGCAGGAACAATAGATTATTTTACCCATGGGAAAAATTTTTCTTTCTTATGCAAAATATTTTCATTGTTCCTGCCATCCAACACGGCTGCTGTGCAAAATCTCTTTGGGAAAATAGTTACTTTCGTCATACGGATTGCTAGAAATAAGTCTGAAGCACGATTTATCGCTCTGTTACATTGGCTAGTTAGCAATTGTTTCCAATTACTTTTGTATGGGTGAATCACAAATTATGTAAGGACGGAGGAAGAAAATTATTGGGAAAAATAGAGTCGCGGATAATTTAAGGAAATAAAGGAAAGAAAGAGCCGTGCTCGGGAGGAAGATGGGAGAACAGAGGAATAGAGAATTATACGAAAAGAGGAACGGAGAAATATGGGAACAGAAGAACAGAGGAACAAAGGAACAGAAAAATGAAGGAACAGACAAACAAGGGAACAGGAGAACAGATGAAGGGGGGAAGCGTGGAGCTAGAAATACTAGTCATAAGAAGACAGGCCGGTTATTTGTTAGAGAACTTTAAGAATATTCCTCCCATTTAAAAATTTTGGCAGTGACACTTCAAATGGAGTTTATCATGGTCACTAAATGCATTCACTACGCAAAAGTTAAAAGCAACAGCCTTGACCAAGGGTAGAAATGGAATGTTATTACAACCGATGAATGATTGTGAAAATCCATGAACTGCATTTAAGGTAAGCCCTCTCAGAAACATCACGGAGAGCAACTAATGAACTGTAAACAATAATCTCCTTTTTATTTAAGATTTATTACTGTAAAAGTGTTTGATTTCTAACTCTGACGCTTCCACATTTTCCTAGTGCCCAGCCTTAACGCCTCAACTTCGGCAAATGTGAAGAAGTGACGGCACAAATACGTTGCTATGCAACTAGTGATAAACAAATCGAAACTTTGTTTTCCATCAAGAGCTCGGTTGCTACTGAAGCAAAGTGAAAGGAAATATATTTTTGTGCTTATCGCGGAAGATAGCAATTCGAAAATGAACAAAACCATCCCGAATGACAAAGAGTCCATGAAGGAATCCTGTTCTGCGAGAATATTTGATGAAGAAGCCAATGTCACTCATCGTTCAGCTGAGAATTACCATGAGCCTCTGGAGGCCTCACACGGAACACGGTTCATGGCTAATGAGGCGGGCGTTTCCAGAACTTCAGGCCTTTTTTTCGTTAAAATCAAATGCTTAGTTAAGTTAGGATTTGTTATCGGAAGGAGTGTGAAGAAAAAACTTAGAACTTTTTTTTCGCGAACGCGTAAGTAGACCTCACTCAATATGTAAACTATGAAAAAGGTTGTAATTGGTTCAGTTTGAATTGTCTGGCCAACATTGGAGAAACAATCCACGCAAATGGAGTTTTTTGTTTTCAGTTTGTTTTGTTTTGTTTTTTTTTGTATTGAAGTTGTTTAGCTAACTTAAGTTGACAAAATTTCTTCAAGAAGTAACTGAAAAGCGCGTGCTACTAAAATTCCAGATTATAACGTAGATTTTTAACATTGCACTATCTTTCAGCTGTTCCTTGACAATGTTTTGTATCCCCACCATCAATTTTAATTTTCTTGATTCCAAAATAACTACTTTGACATGTTTCTTTTTCAGTCTGCGAAAGAAAATGAACAACTAGAACAAAGGATCACATACCCTGAAAAAGAGATTAACAGTTAGTTTTATGTAGGGACGCATGCGGGACACGAAAAGCGCGCGCGGACTGAGAAACCATTTTAATAAGGGGTGACGAGGCTGAACTGTTGGTCCTACACTCCCCTTTGTTCCGTCCTCTATTGAGTTTTCCCGATTTCACTTAGCATTATGAACTTCAGTTGAATATTTAACAAATTATTTGAACGATCTTTTGTTTCAGCTATTTGTGACATTGATTTCATTTGTATTTTACAGCTAAGGAGAAGGAGAACGTCTCTCTTAAGGAAACTATTTTCAGGAGAGACCAGGAAATTGTTGATCTCAAAGAAAAACTGTCCCAAGTACAACACAACTGGCAAAGAAACCAGTTTGATTTTGCCAAGCAAATGGCAACAATGAACAAAATGCTACATGAGGCAAAGAAGAACGTTGACGAGCTCGAGGGTGGCGTAAATGTTTGCGTTATGAAGAACAAAACAAAAGTAGAAGAATCCCAGAGCGAGCCACAACATTTAATGGTGAGTATGTAAAGCAAGATGGCGTCGTATCAACTCTTGTCTTTATCGGCTCCAGGATGCTTAAGGGAACATAGATGGAGAGAAAGAGGAGTTTACTTTACGTTTCATTAAAAATTAATAAGCACTTTTACGAAGCAAGGAAGATGAAAAAGAGTTCAAAATCGCGACTCACACCATCGGCAAAATCACCACGATTTAAAGTAACTTCCCCATTTCACAAAGGCACGACGTGACACAACCAGTCAGTCCATCCTCAAGACGGGAAGAGGGACTTTAACCAGAAAGCTTTTGAATAATCTTTTGATGAGATTGAAAACGTGTTCTTCCATGCACTTTGATTTGCAGTTGGTTTTTAGTTTGTTTTTTGTCTTTTGGTTCAAGTTATTTTTTTGTTTTGTTTTGTTTTTTTTTTCAACTAGGTAAAGGATACTTTGATGTTCAACCATCATGGTTTGACACATTATCAAACAATGATGGATGTCTCAACGTTGAAAATTTTCCCGCAGTGAAAGCCAAAGACCTTGAAATTACGAATAACGTTAGATTGCATTAAAAGCCCTCTACTGAGCCAGCCAAAGGTATGAAGAATGAGAATTTTGAACACAATATCTCAACAGTCCACATCTTTGCGACATCAAGTGTAAACTGACAAGTGAAAAATAGTTAGCGGCTTCGAATTGGCAACGTTTTCTTCCAGGCGCTTTGATTTCATTTATTTTTTTTTTTTTTACAACTAGACAAGTATTACTTTGACCTTCAACCACCGTGGTTTGACAGTCCATCAAACAACGCTGGGTGTCTTAAAGTTGAAAACTTTCCAGTAAAAGCAAAAGATCTTGAAGCTCTGAAGAATGTTCAATCAAACTCAAAGCTCTCCACCAAAGTGGCTAAAGTTATGAGGAAGGAAATCAGAGGAACTGATATTGAGAATAACACTCCAACGGTTCAACTCAGAGGCGTTCCATCGATAAATATCGCAGATTCCTCTGGTAACAAGGTGAATCCCTTTTCCAAGAGGGCTAAAGGCCTTAAAAACCCATCACACGTCCCTGCTGCCAACTTTCAAGCTCAAACTGTGATGACTGATGCTGCATTAAAGACTCGTGGCTCATCCAGTGAGATTAAATCTTTTTCGGAGAAAGCCAAAGGTATGATCAGTCGAATGTCATGTGGCAAATGTTGAGGAAGCTGTAATTGACAAGTAAGAGCTTTAAGTGCTCAGTGTCACGGTTTATTGCGGTGGTATAGGCAAATCTCACCGAACGTAATTCAGTTTTGGTTCAGTAAGCGTAATTCCAAGACGTAGATATCTTTATGTTTACACTAAATTCTCAACGTCGCGATCATGAATAAAAATATCATTTCATGGTAGCTCTTCAAAAATGTATATCCACATACTGCTTCTTAACCCCTAATAGTGATAAACATCTAATTTCTCTAAACAGTATCAAATCTGAATCAAATATACTGGTCATGTGACTAAAGAACATGACTGCATGGGTTAAGAAGCTGTCGATCATTAGACAAATTCTCCATACCAGCACCCTGGGAAAGATACAGAAAGCAGTATAGAGAATATCATCGCCATACTGATGTTAGGATGTAAAGGACTAAAAACTGACGTTATGGTGGATGAATGTCACCCCTTCCTCCCCCCCCCCCAAAAAAAAAGTTGAGCTCGCTTAGTGAATGGTATTTACTTAGACATTAGCCACTTGGTAATTTAATCTGTGATAAGACGAAGTTTCTAACAAAAATCTTTATGAATTATATAGGGAATCCATATTCTTACCAACGCCAAACACCTATTCTGGCGATCACTATTCCCAGCACATCTCAAATAGCTTTTGCTTATCAGCAGATCAATCAACACCTCATTCCTCAAACTGGTAAGTACGACTTAATATCAAATTATGCAAACAGCAATAAGCTCCCTGCAGGGGGTTTGGGTAAGAGCCAGAGGTAAGAGCTATGTGCGGTGGAGTTTGGAACTGGAGAATTCTTATTCTAGGGGGAGAGGGAGGTAATTTATATCCAAGGGGTAGAAGATATATGTGGCACTAAGAGCTCGTTTAAAAACTTGCTCAGAAACAAGCTGATCTGAGATAAACGATTTCATTTTGTCTAAACTTTTCATTTTTTTTTCTTCAGAACAAGGATTCTTGAGCAAAACTTTCAACAAATGGTTTGGATCATACTACTGAAGTAAGTGAGGTGCCATTCAGAGATTTAAGTGCCATAAACCCGTCAACTTTGCAGCATTGCACTGACTGTAGTACTACCTTTGCTTTCGTTGACCAAAAGTCGAGACATTGATTCTGATTCTCTTTTTATTTTACAGATTATCTTCAATGCGGACGACTCAATGCAGACGACTCTAATTCATAATAACTTCAAAGCTGGGCATGGTGATTTTGAATTTTGCAACATTTTATTGTCTTTGGCAAACTTTTGTGAACAAACTAATCAAAGACAAAGTCTAGATGAACAATTATTTCAATTTTGAGAATATCTGTTATAAAAGATTTTGTAAATATGTATATAGCATTGTCGTATTTAATGATTATTTGGGGAATGTTGAACTTATTGTCAAAATCATTCATCTGTTTTGTTTATTCAAATAGACATGAAATAAGAAATGAGTTATTCTTCTGAAGAAATAATCAGTTTTAAAAACTATCATCGCAAAGCTTGACCTATGAGTAAAGTGAGTAGTACGGAAAAAGAGGGTTAGGTTGGCACATTAGTAGCTTCGTGTCTCGAAACCAGTCTAGCTCTACGGAAGTCATTTCGTACGCCTGCCTCTTTAATCAGTGTACTTAGGACCGGTATGCAGTTGCGTCATTTCTCGAAGATCTCCTAAAGCAGCTGAAAGTCTAGAATCCTTTGCTGCAGTAAGTCTATTTAAGGTCAGATGAAGCTGGTTCTTACCACAACAGCTCCCTCGCAAAGGGAGTTGGGGTTGAAGTCCTTCGTTGTCACTTCTCGGAGCCGCAGTCTGGTAAGGACATTTGCGATCGCATCCTCTTCCCGATGAAGTCATCTATTGGTGCTTACTGCAACAAAAGGCACGATGTTCTCACTGCTGTGGACACGAGAGATGCATTGATGCAACACCCATCGAAGGGAACAACCGCTGAGGTGAGCGTCGTCGACGAATCAAAGAACACTCTGTGTATAATAAGACTGAGCATTTAGTAGCTTCCACAACTTCGAATATGGAGATACCAGTCTGAGAGTTTGGAAATGTTATGGCATCGGTAAAGGGAAGTGCATTGCATATGACAAAATGCAAAATTTGGAGCCGTTGAAGCTACTAAACCGGTTCCAAACTTGGGGGGAAAACAGCCTAAATACTGCCGAGGAATCCTCAATGTGACACCATTTTTAAAGCCCGAGAAAAATTACAGGAAAACGCCATGTTTTTAGTCGGCCGTAAACCTTAGTTTCTAGCTCATTCGTCCTCCATCTTAAACAAAATGTGCTTTCGCGTGACACTTCTGGTCAAGATTTGTCAACTGGATTTGAAGAGACGGAGGCAAATTCTCCATCCATAAGTGAAGCAGAAGACTCACCGACGGCTATGGGGTTTAAATATAGAAGCGGAGGTACGCCATTAGTGGGAACGTGGCAACGAGAAAAACACGAATAAATTAGTGGAATGAAAAGCGTTCGTCATGCTGATACCTGTGGGATTAAGAGTGCCGATTTTAAAGATTAACTTTTGTTCAAGAGTTTTACGCCTTTCCGTGTTGCCTAAATGTAAGGAAAGACCGCAGATTGCCATAGGTAATCAACGAACGCTTTTCATTCCACTGATTTATTCGTGTTTTTCTCGTTGCCGTGTTCCCACCAATGGCGTACCTCCGCTTCTCTATTTAAACCCACATACAACCCACAATTCCTCCATTCGCTCTGACAAAGGGCTAACGCTCGAAACGTCAGCTTTTTTATTAGTTACGGTGGCCAATTTACAATTTCAAATGAATTGATATAACCAAATTACCTTGTTATCCCCACCGACGCAGCACCACAGTTTCTTTTGAAACTTTTAGCCTTTATTCTATGGGGTTTAGCTACATAGAATTGGTGGAAAAGTGCACATTCGGGCAATGTTTTGCCTCAAGCGATGATGAAAATGTACGAAGTGCAATTGATGTGGGTTTGTTAAATATTGCCTATAAAATTTCATTAGTTTACAAAAAAGACTAAAGGCCGGGTATGAAAAGAGTTGGATATTTGAGTCCGAAAGTTTCATGTTATGAAGGGTCAAACAAAATCTGTACATGAACTCTACCAAGAAATTGAAAACATACAAAATGAACTACAATATTGGAAAAAGGCCTACGAGAATTTAGAGATAGAGAAGAAAAGAATCAATGAGGAAATGGTGCTGGCAGTGAACCAAAGGGAAAATGAAACCCAGGTTATGCAGATAACGAAAAAAGAGCTTGAAGATTGTATTAAATTGCCGGAAAATTCAGTGGGAATTAGTCAGTCCTACCAGGGAAAACCTCTTTCAACTGTGAAAAATGAGTTCAGGACCTTGAAAACTTTTATTTCATGAAGCGAAGCTGCTCTTTGGTTCTGCTTTGGTGTTGAACTACTAGGTTTAACTGTCAAAGAATCAGATGCTGATTTGGTTCACAGCATCACAAGTAAACCCAACCGTCAAGATACAGGGGACGGAGAAAGAAAGTAAAGCACCTTGTCCGAAGAATAAAAAGCGAATGTAGAAAAATCCTCTTCCTACTTGACAAATTTTGTGTGGGAGATGCATTTTATCCTCAGTGAAGTCATTTTGAGATATCTGTAATATCGAGAGACAAAAGGCAGATCACCACAGTAAAACTTTCGGACGTGATTACAGGGCTTGAAGTTACGCCTGCATCGGGCGCATTCGCCAATAATGACTTCACTTTTGCGACTAAAATTTCTCCATTGGTGGCGATTTTGCAACCGTTTTACAGCCTAGCTTATAAATAAATCATATTTAACAGCCTTGTGTCTTACTTGTCACCGGTTGCTCTAGTTTTATCCGAAAAATCGTGCGAAATTCAAGTTAAATGTTGCGTGACTCTAGTCGTTCGTTTCTTGCTGAGAGAGTGTGGACAAAACGTGGGGTAGGCCATGGCCTACCCTTTGGCCTACCCTATGGCCAACCCTACGTCTATCCGATAGCCTACCCTATGACCTACCGGTGGTCAGATTTTTAAAAACATAAAAATAAAATCAGTAAGAGTCGAACGAATACGCTGGCGTACAATTCTATGCCTCTGTAAAGGATATACTAAGAGGTCACAAAACAAGATTTTCAACGTCCGAGGGAACGAAACAACGCAAATATTGCAGCACTCACCCAAGCACTCAACCATAACGGTAAGCTAAGGGGGAGGGGAGAGGAGAGGAGGGGCCAATATTGCGTGGTCGCAGATAATATGCAAAATGGCGGCTTCACGATACAAGCTGCCAGTTGGTAACATAGTGGAGTGCTAGTGTAAAAATGTAATGAACGGCGCTATATCGGAGAACATATCCAGGTAGGAAAACGCAGAAATTACGTGCCAGGCCAATTTTTTAAGTGCCTCTTAACTGCTGTAGAGTATTGAATTTGTAACAAGCACCCCATGACACGCACGTATCGCCGTCATAAACATTTCGAAAACTTTACTTGCTTTTCCAAAGAAAGGGCCAGTATTGCACTAGTTTGAAAGGAGAGCTGATATGATGATGTTTACCCAAAAGCTGCGTTTAACCGGCCTCTGTTCTTTGATTTCCTTGTTCTATCAGAAGGTTAAGAAATTTTGATCGAAATGTGGCTGCCAAAACAGCAGAAGAAAGTCGTTGGTAAGACTACTCAGGAAAACGTTGAAAGGTTTCCAGCAATGCTATCCTTTTATAAATCTGACCACCGGCAGGCCACAGGGTAGGCCACAGGGTAGGCCACAGGGTAGGCCACAGGGTAGGCCACAGGGTAGGCCACAGGGTAGGCCACAGGGTAGGCCACAGGGTAGGCCACAGGGTAGGCCACAGGGTAGGCCACAGGGTAGGCCACAGGGTAGGCTACAGGG